CTCTCGATGTACAGTTTTTACAATAACTTATAACTCTTCGATTAAATTTACCTTTGTTCAGATGGCATTTTGAGAGTTACCTTGGATATTACCATCTATTTGAAAGCAAATGCTCTCGGTTTACAGTTTTTACAATAATTTATAACTCTTCAATTAAATTTACCTTTGTTCAGATGGCATTTTGAGATTTGTCTTGAATATTACTATATATTTGAAAACAGTGCCTTCGATTTACAGATTTTACAATAAAATGCTCCCCATGTTTTAAATGTTTTAATACCTGTGGTAGGCAGAGCATAGATAGCTCTTTGTATAGCTTTGTGCTTAATAACAAACAACAACAATAATATATAACTCTTTGATTAAATTTGCCTTTATTCAAATGGTATTTTGAGATTTATCTTAGATATTACTATCTATTTGAAAGCAATAACTTCGACTTACAATTGTTAGAATAGTAATAAGTGTCTCTATCGTTGAAAATTGTGACTGTAAAAAACATTTTAGTAACTGAACTAAAATAAAAAAAATATATTAAAATATTCACTGTTATCAATATACATTACAGTAAATTTGATTTATTTGCGTAAATATGGCGTTTACCAGAATAGTTTTCATTTTGTAGATCACTCTTTTGAATTTTGGAGCTCAAAGGTCAACAATACAAAAAAAAACGCATATTATGGTCTGCAGTACCCTTACGTTTCCATCAGCCCGAATAAGACTTGGCACAAAAATGCTTTACGTTAATTACTACAGATCTGGGATTTATGCTTTTCTTTTGATTTTATAGAGATTAAAAGTATAAAAAATATAGCAAAAATTAGAAATTTCGTTTACTATACCTTTATATTTCAATCAATCCAAATAATACTTTGCACTTACAACAATGCACACAGATTGAAGCAGACAGATATAAGACCTGTGCATTTGTTGCGATTTTATGAGGTTAAAGGGTAAAAAAAATACCTATTATTCTTTTATACTTCAATCATTCTAGAGGAGAATTTGCACAATGGTACGTAGAAATTTGGGATTTGTTCCTTTCTTTTAATTTTGTTCTTGCTGTTGCTTATTAATGCCAAGCTACACAATGGGCTAAGCGCACTCTGTTCACTCAATCCACGGATTTTAGCGTCGTGAGGTCGTAAACTTACCGTTGTCCAACCGCGGGACCTTTTGATTTTACAGAGGTCACAGGTAAAAAAAATCACAATCAAGCACCGAATTTAAAGACTTTGTCTTCATATGTAAGAGCTCCTCTAGGGGCTTAGCGATAAATCTATGGGCTCATAACGCTAAAAAGCGAGTTTTGATACTCGTGTTGGGCTCAGCATAGATAGACCATTGTGAAGCAATTTGTTTAAAGACAAACAAACAAATACATATGTAAGCATTACAAGGGATTTTTATTGATGTTCATAAGCATTACAAATCAAATTCTGGAGTGATTTAAATAAAATTGACAAAAATTACAGTTCATTAACTTAATTTAGTTTACATCAAAGCAGCTGTTGTACAAGCTACTGATGATATAGATACTGTTTTGATCACTACTATATAGCAGATATATAGTGGGATTGATATATTATTACATCCTTCTGTACATTCACCTATAAGTCCTTACAATTACTACTGTAGTTTTCTCCACTTGACCCACTCCGAGATGATAAAAAATCTAGTTTTTTTTACTCAGATCTTCTGAATGACCAGTAATGTTAACTGAAGTAAAATAATAAATGAACAAATAATATTAATAATAAGCAATTTAATGTAAAAATTAAAATAAATAGTTGATGTTAATTAAATAAATAAAATTGCTAAAATATGGCATTCAGTTCACAAGTTAGTCTAGTTTACGCTGAAATGGTTGTTGTTCAAGTAATTATAGTCAGTTCTCAGGTTAGTCTAGTTAATTAATTTTTAAATGTAAAAATTAAAATAAATAGTAGATGTTAATTAATTAAATAAAATGTATAAAAAAATGACATTCAGTTCACAAGTTAGTCTAGTTCACGCTGAAACGGTTGTTGTTCAAGTAATTATAGTCAGTTCTCAGATTAGTCTAGTTAATTTTTAAATGTAAAAATTAAAATAAATAGTAGATGTTAATTAATTAAATAAAATGTATAAAAAATGACATTCAGTTCACAAGTTAGTCTAGTTCTCGCTGAAACGGTTGTTGTTCAAGTAATTATAGTCAGTTCTCAGGTTAGTCTAGTTAATTAATTTTTAAATGTAAAAATTAAAATAAATAGTTGATGTTAATTAATTAAATAAAATTGATAAAAAAATGGCATTAGTTAATCTAGTTCACGCTGAAACAGTTGTTGTTCAAGTAATTATAGTCAGTTTAGTCTAGTTCACGCTGAAACAGTTGTTGTTTCAGCTCTCAGGTTAGTCTAGTTCACGCTGAAACAGTTGTTGTTCAAGTAATTATAGTCAGCTTAGTCTAGTTCAAGCTGAAACAGTTGTTGTTCAAGTAATTATAGTCAGTTTAGTCTAGTTCACACTGAAACAGTTGTTGTTCAAGTAATTATAGTCAGCTTAGTATAGTTCAAGCTGAAACAGTTGTTGTTCAAGTAATTATAGTCAGTTTAGTCTAGTTCACGCTGAAACAGTTGTTGTTCAAAAATTTATGATATAAATAGGTTCTCGCTTACTATTCTGTCTGTGTATATCAGCCGACCTGCTAACTTTGGTTTTGTCGGAAAGGCCTTCGGCACTGGACAAAGCAGATATAGTGTGGTTGACATAACATTAAATCATTTTTTTTTACTTTCATTATCTCTTCTGTTTTTATAATTGCTAAAGTTGTCTTTTCCCGTTGACGTTGTGGCCAGTTGACCCACTCCAAAGTAAAAAAAAAAAGACTAACTTACTGGTTCACCAGCTTTTCTCAACGATGAGTAATGTTCATTCAAATAAAATAATAATTAATTAAAATTTATATATGTAATAACCAACTACTTAGTGTTAAAATAGAAATAAGTAATTGATATTAATAAAAATCATAAACGTAATTCTGATGTATAATAACTTAACAAAAGTCTCTCCCTCAAACAAAGGCGCCTCGATGGCAAGAATTGGTCGTAAAAATCCGAGATTTATTCGATTTTAATGAAACTTAAATAAGCTGAGATATGACCATCGCACTTTACGACTTCTTATTCGGGAAAAAAAAAAGTTACTGAGTTATGACTGGCCACGTCATCATTAGCAGAAAACCACTTCTTGTTGTGCAGCCGATTGGGCCATTACGTGTGAACCTTCTTGTTCTTTGCCGAATGTTGTATTTTCCAGACCAGATCCCAGCAGGTCTTCAGAAGACAAACTCAAGCCCCACTGACTGTGATTGGAACTTTGATACTCTTCGGTATGTGATCATCAATCACCATTATTCCCTCGATTACCTGCATGTGTAAGATGTAAAGATTGAAGTTGCTGTGAAGGCGATCACTGTGGACATTTTGACAACCCTTGTTGACGCAAATCCACCTACCAAGTCCAAAGATGTCATGACTATACTCGAAACCAAGATTGGTGCTGACAAGGACAGTAGTGATAGTAGTAGCAGTAGCCTTTTGACAGACCAGAAGATCAGAGATTAGGTCTCTAACCTCAAGCAGACAACGTAGAAATGTCATAAATTTTATTTGAAAATAAAAAAGATAATCAATTGGTGTTAAGATGGTACTATCCCTCTGAAACCCTCTGTCTCTTTGACTGCCCATACCACCCGACTAAAATAAGTTACAATCATATACATTGAATATTTGAATACATCAAACTGAGGACTTTCCATAGGTGTATGTAAGGCCACTCTCCAAGAAATAGTTACTGGCATTTCTTGTTCCTTGCCCTGCCTCTCAAAAACATTATTTCGCCTCAGGGTGAAGGTGAGATCTGTGTTAAATAAAAATGATAAAAAACACAGTTCACTAACTTGATCTGATTTACACTACAGTAGTTGTTGTTCAAGTAACTGATGATATAAATAGCGTTTCGCTAATTGTTTTGTATGTCGTATTCCAGCTAGCCTGACGGGTGTATATACCATTAATACTATTCTCTATTGAAACTTATTTTATTCTGAGAATCTTATCGAAGATACTGGATGGAGGAAGACTTTTTACATTCGAGTGCGAATATTGGCCTTTCTAGTCTACCCAGCATTGACTTTCGCACCTATATTGGTTTTGGAAATAGTTGAACGTATAATGTAACAATGATGTTAGTAAAGGTAAAACGATGATTCAGATATAAACTTAAGGGTTAATAACGCTCAAATTCGGAACTCCCTGTTGTGGGTAAAGCGCTGATAGTCCATAGTTGACTAATGATCAGCTTGATATGAATAGTATAATGAATATTTAAAATCAAATACTTGAAGTTTCGTGTCAATAAGAATACAAACCATAGTTCGTGCAAGTGTTGCCATCTCGTGAAGCATTTTAAAACTACCTATTTTATTTTGATAAACGCTACCTATTTTGAGCATTGTTATTTTAACACAAATTATCATTAGTAACTGACCAAAGCAAACTATTTTCATGGATCAGAACCATAATTAATTGAATTACGATAACTAAATTAATATACTGTTCTGATTAGGTATATGCAAAGTTATAAAATGAACACATAATGATTCGGATACAATGATTCATCAGTTCGAGAACAGAAAGGAAAAATATAGATCTATTGATATCGTTTTGCCAAATCAATGTAGAAAGAAGTATTGAACGATTGCTAATGATTTTAACCTAACAGCTAGTCAATCGACCGACCAACTTACTGAACTAACTAGGGCTTCCAGTAACAGTAAATTTAATGAATTTAAGTCTTAATCCATTTAGTTAATACCAATGTTCATGCCTTGAGACATCTGTTTGTATTATTTCTTAGTTTAAATATAATTTTCTAATCGTTAGTTTTGCAAACTTTCGGTGTCATTAACAAAAGCATTTAAGTGTTGTTGTTTTTTCTTTTTCACGCAAAAGAACCTGTGAAGATGGAACAAGGTATGTAACAAATCATTTCAGTTTATACCATTTATTTAGAATTGATTGTTGTAATTAGTTATCATAATATTTGTTGAAATTTTGAGCTTACAGTTATGATAAATAAATAAGGCATGATTAATTGCATGTGGTAACTATGGACACCTTTCTAATTATTCATAATATTATATATATATATTCCAGTACGTAGTTGAAGTTCTTATCTTTTCTTTTGTCTTTATATAAAAAATGTTGTTATTCTTCATTTATCTTTAATTCTAAGATGATAATCTTCTTGTGCTGTAAGTTATAGACACCAGAATCTGATTTCTTCATCTTCATTTATTCGTGCTTCTCACATGCGATCTAAAATGTAACTTACATTTTGTATGAATTCCTAAATACAATAAAGAATGTTTATATACCAAATGAAAGCATCATCTTGAAGTACCCTTTCAAAGGTTTTTAGTTTAATACTAGACCACCGTGACCCGTTGGGTCAACCACTATTCAGAGGTTATGAAAAATTCAAGCTAATTTCAATATTGCACCGAAATGAAGGTTTATTTTGAGGTAATTTAATTAAATATTTCAATCCATTCTTGTTATTCATAATTCAAGAAAAGATATTTGATTGTTGATCGAGAGTAAAAGGAAAGATCATTTCATTTTTCAAAAAGTGAAGTAAGAAGTTTCGTAAAAAGCATGAACGGTAGTGTGAATGATTTTTTGACTAAGAAAATAAGCAAACAAACAAACAAGCAATCTCAGAATTTTAGTAGTATATAGATAGATTCTTCAATATCTTGTTTTTGTCATCTTACGCCTTTTAATGAAGATTGGAACATTGACAAGAACATAATATAATAGCCAACGTTCGGCGAGAGGTCTTCGTTTATAAAATTTTGTTGTTGTTCTCGACTTGATTTTTATTTTATTAACTCGTCTCCATAGTTACTATTTGAAAACAGTCAATAATATTGTAGGTCCATTTTATTGTTGTTCCGGTGCACAATACTGCATATTTGTAATGAAATTAGAATAGAAATGATAATATAAACAGAATAAAAGAAGTTTCGTTAAAATCGGGCCACGGGTTACCGAGTTAGCCTCGTTTTTCGGGTCACTTTTATGGAAATTGCTAGATGAATTTAGGTACACTAGATGGCGCCACAAGTCGGTTTATCTATCTATCTATTCGTTTTCCACCTGATGAATCACTTTAAAATATCTTCTATACAACAATATATGCACAACAGAAATTAAATGATGAGATGAAAATGTGTTATAACGGCGCGTAGAAATTTTTGCTGTATTTAATTACCGACAAGCACACAAATAAGCAAACAAACAATTTCAGAGTTTTAGGAGTATATAGATAGATAGTAATAGGCTTGTTTATTCGCCGATACTTTCAGCGGCTGGATATTTGTATTTGGATATATGTAACTTTCTTTATCGTTCTTCAATTATCTGTGGCTTCACCGATAATGTATTTTCACATGAGTAGATTTAAATTTTACAGATATTCAGTTTTCATTAAATAAATCTATACTATTTGTTTTTCACACATTCTGTTTCATTAGTTTCAATAAAATTTTGTGAATAAATCTTAAGAGTTCTTCCAAAATAAACCATTTTTTTAATAGCAACATTACATCCTTTGAGATTACTATAAAGTTTTAGTAGAATTGGACCCAGTTCATAGTGTAAGAACTATGAAGTCCATAAAGTTAAGCTAAACAACAATTTTCTGATTTATAAAAACAAATGACATAGTATCACAGTCATAATTAGGGACGGCTAGTGCAGATAGCCCTCGTGTAGCTTTGCGCGAAATTCAAAATAAACAAACAAACACAGTCATAAAAAATGTATCGGAGAGTACTGTGAGTTTTATCATACTAATGTAATAAAGGTTTCGCTGTGTACTCATCACCAAATAATTTTCTTCGTAAAATGTCCAAAACGTTTCCTTAAGTTATCTATACATAGAGCTGTTGCTACAGTCAGTAGTGAAAACATAATGTAATTAGCAAGTGGAATGTACATTAACATTACATCTGTGATGATAGAGACAACTAAGAACATAAAAAAAATGTTCTTAGCCTTACGAAATTCCCGCAGATTAACTAAAACTCATATGTTGATGCTGTTTTTTTTCATAATTAATATCAAATAAAGGTAATTTCATGGAAACACCCATGGTTACATTCCTAGTAGTTGACACAACTTCTGTAACATTTTAAATATTATCGATAGGAAAAATTTGTCACTTTGAAAACACATAATACGTATTTCTGGAACATGTTGATAAATATATACACATGTGTTATGTTTCACATGCTTAATACACTAGGGTAAGAAGATATTATGAAGAAACTTGAAGAAATCAGTTGATTCGTCCAAGCAGCATCTTCACAAATGGTATCATGATAAATCAAGCAGAGTTCTGATAACTAATCGTACATTTCACTGTTTGTTTAAGTTCGTTCACTCAGACACTACCTTATGATATTTAAACTCTTTTAACACATTGTTATTGTAAAAAGCAAATGTGATAAGTGTTGAACTGTATTCACAGATCTCTAAAACGTTTTCAGCACTAAACTATGTAATGAGCAAACGTTTGATAAAGTGTAATGAAAAACACCATTACAGCTCATATTTACCTAATTACACAATAAATCTTTGCTATTCATAATGTGAATATAAATTATTATTTATCTACCTACGTATTTTCATATATAAATAGATTCTGAATTATATTACAATTTATCATTGATGATTATTATATAGTTTTATAAGAATGAACCTAAACTGTAAACTGAATTAGTTTTAATGATTCTGTGAACATTATTCCCTCAAAACAAGCTGTTTCTCCAATCATATTTAAACCAGAATCTTTTGAATTGTGTTTCATCCCTACTCTATTTATAGAAGGTTTGCATCTCGGCTTGAAATTTGTTTGATTTAGACCAAAAGTGTATCAATTTTTTTCTTCTATATTGCGAGGTAGGAGGTTTATAATTTAATGTTTAATGTTTTAATATTTCGAGTTTATTAATGTTTAATATTTTAATCTTTAGAATTTGTTAATGTTCAATATTTTAATCTTTCACTGATGGTTCGAAAGGATCCTCCAGGTGGTATGCAGACTGGTCCAAAATGCATGTTTGTTTTATTGTTTATTATCATTATTGATTCAAGCATACTTTGATGTCCCACTTTTTACAATACTCTCTCCTTTTATGTCTATGTAGATGTTAATGACGCATGAGATACTTCGAGAATGATCTATGTATAACTAAATGTTTTCCTTGTGTTTATTATTCATCAAGTTCTTGATGTAAGCTGGCCTTAAATGTGACTTAAGTTATGAAATAGTCTCACTAGTTTGGTTACAGAATTTAATGTATTTCATTAATTTGAGAGCAAGGAAGAGTTAACTTCAATTAGTTATTCTTTTATGAGAAAATGAAATGCTTTAGGATTTTGTATGATTGCTTGTATGGTTATTTCTGTTGTCAGGGGTGTGATATCTATAAAAAGTGATGTGGTGATCCATAAGCTTCTTGAGTGCTTGGAATTATGGATATACTTAACTTTCGATAACTAATTCTATAGAGAAAAACCTACGACATTATTTCCAGACTGTCGCCCTCTCACCGTTGTTTAATTAAAAATCAACCAAACAGTTTTAAAGCATTTCCATAAATAAGGTGCATATTGTGAATAAACTTGTTACATTTCTTAAAGAATGTAAATTGTTAAGTTACTATATTTTTATCTTGTCTCCTTATTGGATTTTCTTGATCATCAACTTATTTTACTCACTTTCCCACAAACATATTCAAGGAGACCTTAAATAACCATACATATCTGTTTTGGCAAACTTAATTCTCAAGTTACTTACTCCAAACTAACACAATAATCATCACTGAGTTACATTGAATAAAATGTGATTTGGTAAATTATGAGCTAAGCTAAATGTAAATTCATTTTTACAGCACATGAATAAACGATGTAATGTGAGTAATGCGAAGTTGTTTTATTTTGCTACGTTTAGGAGATATCATTTACTATTTGAGATAAAGCATTTTTGGATGGATATTAAGTTAAGATTATATGATAGAGTAGCCCAGTTGTTCTGAAACTTTCTCATCCGCGAACCACTTCAGCGGGGCAAAAGGCACCGCGGACAACCTACTGGTCCTATCCCACCCACTTTCGCTTACCACAGGAAAAAAATCATCAGAATTAATAGGAAGAATGGTGTTGCTTTTGATGAAACTTGCATTTTGAACCAGTCTGCATACCACCTGGAGGATCCTCTCGAACTATCAGTGATTTGCGAACTACACTTTGAGAACCAATGGTCGAGCCTAACCAGTAAGTTAAAATGTTAAAGTAATGCTGAGTAAGATGGGGTAAAAAAATAAAACCAAATCAAAGTGAAAGAAGTAAGTAGAACATTTGACACATTTAAAAATGAATTTAAAAAACAAGAGATCATTCATTCAGTATGATATGAGAATAGAGGTCAGAGGATAAAACACCATATAGTGTATTATATTTAAATAATTGCTTTAATATACCTTATAATATTCTCCTTAAAAACAAACGAGATGATTTATTTTAACGATTTTTCAAAAGCTCCATTGTATGAAAACCTTTATATTTGAAACACTATTTTATACGATGTCTAAGTTACGTTCTTACTTACTAATTCTAAATAACTGACAAAGAGTAATTCTAGTCAAGTGATGTTAGTCATCTTAGCTGATGTCTTTTCTACTATTATAACTACTGAATTGTTTAGAGAAAGTGCATACACTAAATAATATTGAATTTAAATTTATGATACTCTTAAACTTATAAACAACAAATAAAGAATAAATTATATATTATAAATTATAGATGCAACTAATTTCAGTGTAAATTAGATAAATATAATAAATGTTGTACTTGTCTCTTCTCACTTAATATCTTTCACTTCAACACCCTTTCTTATCATTGCT